TGAGACTTATTTACAGAAAATCTGAAAACCCAATTTGAGTGTTAACCCTAAAGAAATTATATTTGCTTCTGCCAGATGCCCAGAGCCAATTAAAGGTAACTCTTTCCCAGTCCACACAATAGTATGAATTTAAATCTAACCTCACCTGAGAGCAAATGTAGATAGATCATTAAGAGAAATATTTTTCTTTCAGAGCCAACCTTAAAGAGCAACATCATCATTTTCCTTCTGTGATTTTAGGGCTTTTTAATTTTTTAATTTTTTTTTGTTCTTGTTTTGTTGTTATTTTCATGATCCTACGTACCAATCATGATAAAGAGACCTAGCTCCAACTTGTGTTCTTGCTGGATCCTGAACCTTTGAATCCTGATCCCTTTAAGAAAATGAAAACCCTGAGGTCCTGGATAAGGAGCACTAAACATCCTCAGGGTAGCCACTACTTTGGACAGTGAGAATAATAAATATAATGATTTGAAAACTCTAGAATATTAACTCTAATAATTCATGAATTACTAGTATAAATTACCTAAATGAAGAATATACATGTGTGTGGGCATGAACATGCTTAGGAAATACTTTAAATAAGAATTCATTTTCTTATTGTAGTACCAAGAGTTGCCTGGACAGTACTTCTGTATTCAACCAGTGACACGTAAAAGTTTCAGAGACTTTAAAAACATTGTTTTCAAGGTCAAATCAAATTGGAGGCAATCATTCTTCATTCCATTTATAAGACCTAGGTAACTTTTCTCAGTAAAGCTAGTACTAAAAATGCCTTCTTTAAAAAGACAGGTAGTTAGAATACCATACAGAACTCATTTTTGACTGTCAAAACTGAAATTATTTGCAAGCCATAGATACATACAACCTTGTAGGGTGACACCTCACTTAACTGTTAAATCACCTAAAGGATTACCTTGTCTTTCTTTTATGTGAATTGAAGAGCACAAAGCTATTTAAAATTCCTTCTCTAGAGAAATTCTATTAGGAGTATTATATTTCTTTGGCAGTCCTAAAAGGAACTAGTCCAATATTTTAACATCATATTTTTAAAGCTATTTTGGGTTATTCTGTAAAGGGTTAGACTGAAACCTGAGAATTGAATTTGTCCTATGTATATGGCATGATTTTTTACCAATTGTACAGCTCAGTACACCTATCTAGTATCTAAGTAAAACACTGTGTATTAGCATAGCAACATTTAAATGTGCAAGTGAAACCACAGGTAAATTGTACTTTCACCCATTACTTTCTGCATATTTGAAAATGCACAAATAGATTATTTTTTTCAATATCTTTATTTTAGTTATTTTCTGTGGGGCTGAGGATTGAACTCAGTGCCTCACATATGCTAGGCAAGTGTTCTGTCACCAAGCCACAACCACAGCCCCTAAATTATGTTTTGCATAAAAGTTTTAGAGTGGTCAGAAAGGAGTAAGAGTTAAAAAAAAAAAACACCTTCATTAAACCATTATAAATAGTGTATAGTCACAGTGCAACTCTGGGGAAAGGCAATTATTAAAGCATAGTTCAGGTAATTTTAAGAGACTGATGCTAATAGATAATAAGCTTGAACACATTCTGAATTATAAAATGTAAAAAAATAACGGACAAAAGAAGACAATAGCAATAATAACTACCACTTATTAGATCTGATTAGCACCAGGACTATATTCAATGCTTTACTTAAAAATAGTCTCAGCTATAAGATACCCTGTTATCAAGTGTTTAATATATACTATGTATATCCATGGAATAACTTTTTTGAATTAGGTACTCTTATTTTCCTAGTTTTATATTTGGGAAACTGAAAGTTTCATTCAGATGCCCCATATCACATAAACTTGAAAGAATTAATTCATATATAAAAGGCATTATTGGCTAACTCTAGAGATTATCCTACACAAATTCCCCATTATAGTATCTTCATCCAACTGCTATCATCTCAACCCATTTCGGGTGTTTTATTGGTCCCATTTTAAAGATGGGCAAATACAGATAACTTATATGAGATTAGTTGTGTGTAACAGTATCAAGATTAAAACTGGTTTAGCTTCCTTGTAGAATCCATATASTTTCCAATATACTATTCTGCCTTCGTGGCATATCTGTCACTATTCAGTAATTCATTCATTTGCTTATTTATTTAACAAATGTTTGTTGAGCACATTGTGCATGTATTCTTCTAGGCTGTGGACCTACTTAGCAAATGAAAAATGCAGAGTCCAGAAGGTTTCATCCTAGTAGGGGGAGATAGAAATTAAACAAACTGATAAATGTATGTCAATGTTAATAGGTGCAATAAAGAAAAATAAAGCATTGCAAATGACTAAAAGATAATGTCATAAAGGGTACTTTAAATTTTTAAAGAAGATACTAAATGCAAGGAGATGTGCAACTTTCACTAATATTTTTATAATGCCCCATTTTTTTCATTGTGAGGATTGACTCCTTGGTTTATATGACATTGAAACTCAATCTGAGTTTTATCTTTTTCTTTTGGTTCTGGAAGAATATGTTTTATTAAAAACCTAACATTTCATTGAAGAAATTATTTTGTGCTGAATTTTTTTKTTGTTGTTAATTCTATACCCCCCACATAATCAAAGCATTTAATGAGTCTCTCTGCCCAGGTCACAAAGCACCTTTGCGTCTATGGTTTTTCTTGATATTCTCAATGACCTGACCAGACAAGTTTTATTGTAATCATCATCATTATTATGCATATTGTTATTACTCTTATTTTACATGGGATGTAGAATTCATTCCTGAGCCCCAGGCAAACATGAACAGTTATTCAGGGCTTCTAGCACTCTAGTTCATAACTACTGAACAATTGAAGTTGTTATGAGAGCTAACATCCATTTTGGTCCATTGTCTAGCAGTTTGGCTAATAACAAAAAGTTATTATTAAATGAATTTGAAAGACTCAATAAGGAAGAGGCAAGCTAGGCTCAGGACCTGGGTTTCCTGACACCCACCCAATCCAGTGCTCTACACTAGACATCAGTTAGAAGACTGCTTCTTTTAGAGGTTCCCATGTTTCTTTTATCTAGTGAAATAATCCCAAGCATTGGGAACATCTGAAAATGCCTACATTTACACACAGGCATGCAGTTGTTCTCACTTATCTGTGGAGGAAGTACTTCAAAGCCCCCAGGGGATACCTGAAACCTTGAATAATACTGAACTCTCTATGCTTTTTCCCTGTACATACATGTCTGTGATTCTTAAATAGTTATTTGAAGAGACAAAATTGGGAATTGTTATCTTTCTAAGTATTTGTACAAAATACCCTGCTTAATAAGGTGAACAAATATTTGTACTTATTGGGAGAGTATGCTTTTCCAACAATTATGTAAAAGCGTCTTCTCTTTGTCATTAACTCTTGATGTGGGATGTTAGTTCTTAGAGGCAATCTCATGATAAAAGCAGTACTGATGTCAAGAACTAATTGACTGATTTTAATTGAAGAACACTTATATTACAAAGTATATGATGGTAAAGATGTGTTCAACTTGTTTTTGCTTTTCTCTACAAAGCTGAAAACCTTCTTCCCAGTAGTAATTAAAAATAAACAGCAGTCATTAACTTACTGTGGGGTTCTAATGACCACAAGATTGCTTCCTTGCATGAATGACTTACTGATCTAAAGCAAAGTAATTCAACTTTGAAATTATCTTGAAAATTAAAAACCATCCTAGATAATGAATAGTTTCAATTTCTATAGCACGAATTTATGTGTAATTTTCCTTTTTTATGTGTTCTGTACATATACAATATGCTAACAAAAAATGGTCTTGCAGGGATTCCACATCAAAGAATAGTGTGCCAAATTCAGTCTCTGGTCTCTTTAACCTTGGGGGTGATATTCATTCATTCATTCATTCAGCAAACATTTGTTGAAAAGCTCTTGTAGCTAGACATTTTCTATGGGGCTTTAGAGGTGGGATGATGGGAAGCAGTCTCTGCTCCCCAAAGAATTTATTACTGGGGGATTCAGATAGTACTTGATTCTAATTCTGTCTCCTTTATTTAATTGGTTATATCACAATTTACTTAACCAATTATTTTCTGTTGGATACTTAGGTAAATTTATTTTTCACAGGAGGCTATAAAAAGCCTATGTTGGATGCCCCAATCAATAAATAAATATTCACACTTCTGGTTATGTCTTGGAATGGATTTCTATAAGTAGAATAAGCAGGTCAAAATGCATGGACATTTTAGTCTTTTGAAACTTTAACAAATTAGTTCCAAAATACAAATACAGACAGAAAGGTTATGTTGTTTTTACATTGCCACCAAGAGTGTTTAAGAAATCCTGTCCTTGCTCATTTTCTTGGTCAGCAATATAGAATATTCTGCTAAATGTGTAGTATCWATCATTGATGTTTACATAATATTCAAAATTATTAAAATGTTTATAGTTTCTAAGAATAATTTGGTGCTGATCAAAATTTTTCAACTGATTGATAATTTATATCTGACAAGAAATCATCTGGATTATTTTCTTTCTTATAAATGCTGAATTTTAAAAGTCATGTTATAAAAAGTGTCATCTGTTGATTTGAAAACTTTTTTTWAAAAAAAGATAATATTATAGTTATCCACTAGTAAATTGGAAATGTTGAATATTAACGTTAATATTCAAATAATTAAAAGCAAATGTCTTAAAACAAATAGATCTCTACTTTGTTAGGACTTACTGAATTTCTTAAGTACACATTTAGGATATTATGAGTTAAATTAAGTAGCAAAACATTATATTTGGTGCTAGTTCATTTTACTTAAGCCCAAAATTCCTACCTATGGAATATGAAAAGAAATAAAAATATAAATAAGTTTATAGGGAATACGTCTTATTCCCTATATGAAATCAAGGACTGACTTCATGGTTAACTGGTTGAATCTTTGTGACATTTCTGCTGTTCCTGAGCTTGTATGCTCAGCTATTGGATTTCTGTTCTTACCTCAATGGTTACACTTTTCATTTCTAGAACCATGGGACACAAAAACCGGTATGTCAAAGTCCCCCGTGGTCATATCTGGGTTGAAGGTGATCATCATGGACACAGTTTTGACAGTAATTCTTTTGGGCCGGTAAGTCATCTTTTCATGTTGTTGCCAATATAACTGGATCTCAAAAGTGGGAAAATAGGTCATTTGGATAATTCAGTAAAGACTAATTAGGAATTTTATAGTGTCACATTTTATGTTCAAATATTTCCTTTCAAATATAGAAAGAAAGATATGTAAACTATCTCACACRTGTGTGTGTCTGTATGTGTAAAATAATGGAAAATAATTTAGACTACTTCAAAAAAACTACTAAAAGGTGTTTTCAGCTACTTGGTCTTAGTTAGAATATCTTTTTTTCACCCACAGGTGAAAAAGCATATGCTGTTAGTTGGTGGTTAGCACATTCAATGTATAAAAGACATAGGCATAATTTTTTTAAATTGTTCCTCATATGGAAAGCATTATGGACATTCCTTGGAAAACTTGGAATGGAACCACCATTTGACCCAGGTTTCMCACTCCTGGGTTTATACCCAAAGGACTTAAAAACAGCATATTATAGTAATGCAGCCACATCAATGTTTATAACTGCACAATTTACAATAGCTACATTGTGGAACCAACTTAGATGCCCTTCAGCAGATGAATGGTTAAAGAAACTGTGGTATATATACACAATGGAATATTACTCAACATTAAAAGAGAATAAAATCATGGAATTTGCAGGTAAATGGATGGCATTGGTGAATATAATGGTAAGTGACCTTAGGCAATCCCAAAAAACCAAATGCCGAATGTTTTTTTTCTGATATGAGGATGCTAATCCATAATAGGGAATGGAGAGGAGCATGGGAGGAATGGAGAAACTTTAGACAGAACAAAGGAGAGGGAGGGTAAAGGAGGGAATAGAGGTGTAGGAAAGACAGTAGAATGAGATGGACAACATTATCCCTAGTACATGTATGAAGACAAGAATGGTGTGACTCTAATTTGTGTACTACCAGAGACATGAAAAATAGTGCTCTATATGTGTACTATGAATTGAAATACATTCTGCTGCCATATATAACAAATTAGAATAAATAATTTTTTGAAAAGTACAATATTAATAGAAATCATATTTATAACTATAGGAGAGGCAAATTTTACCCTCTCAGGTTCTCAAGGTGGCCTGAGAATTAAGTTGACATAAAACAGAATAACAGAAAAAAAAAGAACAACATACAAATTTAAAATAAGTTTTAAGTGGCACAAGAGCTCTCATAAGGAAATGAAGACTTAAAGAAATGGCAATACCTATCTGTTTTTGTATTAGGTTGAACCAATAAAGGTAATACAGAAAAATAACTAAATTATATGAGGAAGCTAAAGGAAGATAAGAATTATTTTAACAAGATACACTTGTGCTGAWTTTTCTCAGCTGTGACTCTCCAAGAATGTTTCCTGTCTTTACTAGAAGGAGGGCAAGTACTATAACAGAGTTTTAGTTTTGTTTTCAGAAAGAAAAGGGGAAAATTAATATGTCCTTCTTCTATCAGCTGTTTTTCAAGTACCTTTAACTCAAAGTAATTTTTATGTCAAAGTGGTGTATTTTGGGGATAACAGTCATAAGTAATATTTTATTAGAATTTTAATTTATACAATAAATGCAGATAGGCTTTATGCTGATATTCTATAAAATATGTGGCTGAACTGATATTTTTTGGATTTTTTTCAATGTACAACTTACAAAAGTTCTCTTTATATTATTGCAATAATTTGTTATATGAAGACTCTTTACTGATGAAAGTGGTATCTAATTCTGATTAGCAGCCTTACCATCAGATTTTTGTAAAGCTAGACATATTTATACTTGTTCTCAATACATACTATAATTTAAGATTGAGTACCTTTATATGTTTTTGAAATGAAATTTATCCACATAATTTTGTCTAAAATTAAATGTTGGTGATCTCTAATGAAACAGTTTTCTTTACGTATTATGAAAGATCAATGCCACTAAAAGAGCAGCCACTTTAACTCAACTTTGGCTTAAAGTTCAATAATGGAGCTAAAGTTGGATAAGGGTATAGATCAGTGGGAAAAACTTTTAGGATACTATTCCTATTTCTTTTTTTCTGATTATGATAACAAAACAAATCTTCTAAGTCCTTTACTTTCACTGATTAATAATTATTAATCAAAAATAAAATTTAGTCTTGGTAATACATATCAAAAACAAGATACAGACTAGAAATTTTGGAAATGTCAGGTCACTTTGTATAGCTCAAGTGTCTGTTGTGAAGAAATCAAGTAGCAAGTTGAAAGTGAACATAAATTACATCAATCAATGCAGATTTAGTTCTCCTTTGTCAATATATTAAATGTATTAATGTATCATGTTTTGGGCCAACTCCACATTAAAATGTTAGCTAACTTTAGTTGGGTTTTAATTGGTTAGGATAGTGATTTTGAAATGAAGTATTAAAAATGTTATTTTCTATCAGTTGTCARGTGTGTGGTAATTATTTATTAATAATAAAGTTATAAAATTTGACATTGGTTTGCATTTTTATTAAGTTAAAGCTGGTGTGATTGATTGATATAATTAATATTATTCCCCCATAGTTGTATTTCTTATGCTTTTTCATTTAGGAAAGAAATGGAGAGAGTTGATAACCAGGATAGTGGGAGTTACACATGTTTCTCCTTAGTGTCCTACCTATGGTTCAGATCTTCTTGGGCCCCTATTCCTCCTATATTTTTCATAGTGGTGTTTTGAATCATTGAACTTTGAATACAAATATATCCATATGAAAGCACATAAAATGTGGAAATATTCACATGTAATATCTTAACTCTTATGTCTTTTTATAAAAAGGAAAGAAAGAAAACATCCTTCTCATGAGTGTAAATCTCATGAGAAGATTTTAAATAGAATTTACCCAATTTAAATTTCTGCCATTGGTAATCATAATAGAGCTGACTTTTTCATATTTAAGCAGACTTTTAGTTATAATGTACTAAAGACTTAAATCATATTTTTAAGTAAAATACTACTTTACTATACCTGCAGTCAAAGAAACAAAACAACTTTGAAATTTTTTTAATGCATAGAAAAATATTTATGCACACTGACATTTGATTCATAAATTGGACCAAGCTGTCGATTTTCATTCAGTAAACTGTGTCATTTTCATTTGCCAAAATTAGATGAAGTACCTTTTTATATGAAGGAAAATATTTGTCATGTCATGCATTAATTTACTTGTACTATATAAGTTTTAACATATAATACTTTAACTTTTATATTGTGCTCTTGTGTTTTGTGTTCCAAGGATTTATAACTAGGAAATCATATCTTTAGTGATACTCCCACACAAGTGTTAAAAGGATAGAGGAGAATAGAAGTTAAATTAAAATCCCCACACGTTTTTCTTAAAGCTAAGCTGTGAGGTTTGAATGTAAAGATTTCTTAGTGCACGTCTTTATTAACGAATGGTTATCTGAATAATTTGTTCATTATTTTAATGTTTTTTTCTAATCCTAAATACTAAAATGTAAGTTTCACACTTTTAAAAACATAGTGTTAAAATTATTATATTCCTCTAAGAAAATTCTTGGTGAAACATTTTGGCTTATCAATCACATGCTTCAAGATTGTATATAAAGTGAGTGAGCACCAGGCTTTGCAGATAGGTGGTTGATTCTCTTCCCTTTTGGAAGTAGGTAATGTACTTTCCTTGATGTTAACAGCCTATCTAAAAGTAGGCAGGATTGTCTAGAATGCTTGTTTTGCCTTTAGAAATTTATTGAAACTTTTCATTTTCACTTTCTTGCCAAATAACTTAGGAAGTATTTCCAACTGTTTTTTTTAATGTTTTAGCTCTTTGAACAGTAATTATATTTTATCATAGAATTTTTACAATTTAAATTTCTGCCATTGGTAATCATAATAGAGCTGACTTTTTTCATATCCAAGCAGACTTTTAGTTATAATGTACTAAAGACTACGAAAGAGAGCTTCTTGTTCTTTTTTTTCTCGCTTATTATTTACTATTTTTATCTTTATATAATCATTTATTTTTTTGGATTCAGTTTATCATAACTACATGTAGGCTCTAGAGAGTATTGAATGATTCTATGAATGAATATTTATATTGAGTTATAGCCATAGAACATGTTACAACAGGAGGAGAAATCTGAGATGACTTTTATTCTGACACCCACATTTCTATTTTTTTTTTAAGAGAGAGAGAGAGAGAATTTTTTTTAATATTTATTTTTAGTTTTCGGCGGACACAACATCTTTGTTTGTATGTGGTGCTGAGGATCGAACCCAGGCCGCACGCATCCCAAGCGAGCGTGCTACCGCTTGAGCCACATCCCCAGCCCCCAAAATTTTAATGAATATCCTAAGTAAACTAATATAGAACTGCAAGAAAACAAAACAGTGTTTATCCAGGGATGAAACATACAGTCATTTAAATCTGTATTTGTGAAAAACKTTAATGATATCATATTCATGATATTAAGTGAATAATATAAAAATAAAGAACTGAATATATATTGATTATCTTCAATTGTTAATGCCTCTGGTTGATTTTTTTCTTTATTCTGTTATACTTGTCTATATTTTAAAACTTTTGCAAAAAAAATTAATTACTTTTATCATCAGAAAAATAATTTTTAAAAATAAGTTTAAGATGGTTGAAAGCAAATGACTTCTAAGTTTAATGCTAGCTCTAAGTTCCATATTGCTATGACCATAGGGAAAAATATCGCAGAAGTGGTTGGATACAAAATGTTTCTATTATGCATAATACTATCTCCATGATATATATTTATAATAAACCTCTTGAATCATTAATCAATAAGAGAAAATAGTCTCTCTTCTCATAATATGAATTCACTAATTTATGACTTCAGTTTGAATTTCTAGATATATCCAGAAGATTGTTTTATAAGTTTCTTTTAAAATTATGATAGTTGCCTAGAAGTATTCAGTACATATTACTACTTGATTTTACTTGATTACATAATAAAGATATTCSATGATTCTGATATGTTGGTTTGTGATTGCTTGAAATATTTTCTAAATG